AAAAATAATTCAGCAGCACTTTGGTTTAGCAGATATTCAATATATACTAACAATATAAATATGTGGAAAAAATATTGATAAAATATATGCAATTTGGTGCATAAGCAGTGATTTTGCGGACTTTATTTAAAGTCCACAAAATCACTGCATTTTTATTCATTTTCTTTCACTAATGTATCACTTTAGTGCTACTTAAACTTCTGTTAATTTTGGTACTGTCAGACAAATAAAGAAATAAAAAGCAAAGACAGACGGCACAAAGACAGACGGCACAAAGACAGACGGCACAAAGCCTGCGACGAAAATAAAGCACAAATAAAAGAAGAATATAAGAAGATAAAAATGAAAAGAGAAGAACGCATTAGTGCACTACTGTAGCTCCATGGCAACATCTGAGGCTTTGCCATGACACTGCATACAGCCTGCGTCTGTTTTTAACATTCCAGCTTGTCTTTGATTTCACTCATACCATGACCAGACCACCTGTGTGTGAAGCGTGAGTGTGAGAGATTGGGGGGAAAAAAAGACAAGAGCGATGTTAGAAAAAAGGCAGAGAGAGAGAGACAGAGAAGCAGAAGGCAGAGATGAGCGCTATTAATGTATTTGCTTCCACTGCTGCTCGGCACCAAGCGACAAGGATCAAATGAACCATCTTTGACATTTGCAATCTGCCAGTGACATCACGCGATGTCTTGTAAGAAGGCCATTAAACCGGGTTGCTAGCTGTCAGTTGTAGCGCTGCGTGTCATCCGCTGGTATGTGTTCTTGTAAATTGTTTATATCTCTCTGGGAGTGTAGCGAACATATGGGAATTTTTCAGGAACAAGGTTCATTTGACAACACATTAGAAAGCTGACATGCATGGGAAACCAGAGTGTTACATTTGAAACCATTAAAAAAATAGGACATCACTGCGTTATAGACAGAATTAGGAGAATATTACTACTGGAGAGCTGGAACACACACACACACACACACACACACACACACACACACACACACACACACACA